TGGCACGACCCGAGGTCGACTCCGCGTGGTACGAGCGACTGGCTCGGGATCACGCGTGCATGACACTGGGACAGCGCTGCCGGGCGCTGTCGGAGGTGCTCTGGCGCGACTGGCGCTGAGACCTCGCGGGCTGGCACGGACAGGCGCGGCTGGGCGCTGTCACGTGCACTGGGGACTGCGGTGCCTCGCGAGCGCTAGGCGCGGGCACGGACAGGGGCACTGCCTGGCCCCTGCGACGCGGCACGGGCACGGCACGCGCGACTGGCGCGGCTGGTGACCCTAGCCGGTCCTTTGCCAAACTTCCGACAACTTTGACGGGGACTACTGAACCAAATCAACCTAATATGACATAAAATGCTCAAAAATGCCAAAAGTCACTGAGGGACCTCGGTTGGATTTGGTGGTGGGCTTATAGGGCCGATTAGGCACGAGGCCACCCTAGGGCACAAAAATGAACATGCTCAACATGAAAATTGACCTAGGGCCGAATGATATACATCAAAAGTCATGGCTAATGAGGCTAGAACATTGGTCAATACATGCATGCACATATACTTAGGTTCGGGGGTGAAAATGGCTCGATTTCACATATCAATTCGACCGAACAAATGAATTCAAAGCATGAAACTGTTTTAACCATGTCATAATCATGATTTTTGAGGATTTTTAAGATGCTAATCTCGGCCATATCATGCATGTACCATAACTTACGAAATTAGGGCTTAAATCTTCAAAAATCCAAATCTCCATATTCTTCTCGTGCATGGCATCATTTTTGTACATGATAAATCTTATTTTATCATGAATAAGTTAGGAAAAATGGTTGGCACGAGCTAACCTTGCTCAAAAGTCGAAATGGTGCCAAAGGACTTTGCTCGGGGATCTCGGGGCCCTAGGAACTTGGCCTCGACTTTGGGGCTAAAATGCTGAGCTTTGATGATCTCAAAAGACTTAGAAAAATCTAAGAAACACTTAGAAAGTGCTAAGCCTCGAGATAAAATGGCTGCAAGTGGCTGGACCTCGGTGGCTCCCTTTCCCGGGCTCGCGTGCGTGCGGACGGCCAAGGTGAGTTGAGTTCAACTTTCCCTTTGATTTCTCTCAATATGTCCGAGTGTTTATGAGTCCAAGAGCTGAAAAGGGGCTGGAGAGGGACCCTTATAAAGGCTGAGGGGCGGAGTTAGCTAGGTGGGATGGTGGGAGACCAAAATGAGTGCATTTTCCCACTCCACATGCACATAGGAACTTGGGAGCTGATGGGCAGCATCTTACACGGTCTTGGAGGGAATATGGCAGGGTATCCAACAATAAAATATGCCTTGGACAGGTCTTGGTCGGGTTGGAGGTAGTGGGGGACAAGGCACAACATAAACAATTGCATATGGCCCCTCCACTCACAATTAAATAATCCCTAATGCCCATGTGACATCCTTAATCATTACTTAGGGCATCCTAAGCTTAATTAGTCCTTAATCCACCCCTTAACACACGCATGAAGTTGGGCCCTGGAGAAGTGGGCCGAAATATATGGATTTGGGCTCAAGAAGTGAGCTGGTACGCTGCCAGCGCTGGGCCTGGGCGCGAGCTGGGCGCGGGAACTGCTGGGCTGCGCGTGCTAAAAGGCTTGGGCCGAGAATGCCACATGCTTAGGGCTGGAAATGAAACTCTCCACACTTAGAAAAATTCCAAAGGTGTTTGGCCATGACTTGGGCCACCATGCTTGACTCGCGCGAGGCTAGGGCGCGGGCGCTAGGGCGCGACACTAGGGACTCGGGCCGATCATGAAACACTTGGCTAGGGCTAAACTTGTGGCACAATAAGGAACCCAAAAATACTTAGAAAACTTGTGCCACACCACTAACCATGACTTGGGCACTCGCGGCTTGGCGAGGCACGCGACACTAGGGCGCGAGGACTCGGACCCGTGCACGAGCTCGGTGCGGGGTTACTTAGGCCGAGGGAATGATATCCAAGACTTGATAAAAATGATCTCATACTTAGAAAATATTCTAAGTAAGGCTATGAGCATGGCTAGGGCTCGAGCAAGACTCGAGACTACTAGGGCTCGAGAATTGGCTAGGCGCGAACTAGGCGCGATACTCGCGACCGAACGACTCGGTTCTGGGCACGGCTGGACTTAGACGATTTATCGAAACATACTCGGTTCCGATTATTCGTCAACTGGAATAATTAATTCCGACTGAAATACAACCCATTTCTAAAATAAGAAAAATGGACCGGAATTAATAACTGAGATTGAATAGCTGATAACTGGGCTCGGAACTCAAGACGAGCAGTATTAATAAAAAGAAATAGTTCAACTGGGAACTAAAAACTGTCATTTTATTAATACAGAACTGGGCTATTACAATCTATCTCCCTTAAAATATTTCCGTCCTCGGAAATACTAAACTGGAGAAATACATACAAGAACTGAAAATATATACAACTGGGTACATATCAGAACTCAAAATCTGGAAAACGAGCTCTAACATCTGCCTCGCGCTCCCATGTGGCATCTGAATCTCCGTGGCGATTCCACCTGATACGAACGAGGGGAACGTCTCGGTTCCTGAGCCGAAGGACCTTTCGATCCAGAACCGCTACCGGCTGCTCCTCGTAAGTCAAATCTGGCTGAAGCTGAATCTCGCTGTGCTGAAGCACATGCTCGGGATCGCACACGTATGGGCGTAGCATCGAAACGTGGAACACGTTGTGCACGCCAGCCAACTCGGGAGGCAGAGCCAATCGATAGGCGACTTCGCCCACTCGCTCGAGAATCTCGAACGGGCCTATATAGCGAGGATGCAACTTCCCTCTCTTCCCGAAGCGAACGACACCTCTCATCGGTCGAACCTTCAGGAATACATGATCTCCGGGCTCAAAGTGCATCTCTCGTCTATGCTTGTCGGCTGAGGACTTTTGCCGACTCTGAGCTGTCTTGAGCCTCTCTCTGATCCAGGCTACCTGCTCAGCTGTCTCCTCGATCAACTTTGGACCGAGTACTCGTCGCTCTCCGACGTCATCCCAATACAGGGGCGATCGACACTTGCGGCCGTAAAGTGCTTCGTAGGGAGCCATCTGAATAGATGCCTGATAACTGTTGTTATAGGCGAACTCAGCTAGTGGCAGCCACTTCTCCCACTTAGCACCTCTGTCCAGAATTAAGGCTCGGAGCATATCCTCGAGCGTCTGGATCGTCTTCTCGGACTGGCCGTCCGTCTCTGGATGGTAAGCCGAACTAAACTTTAACTGGGTGCCCATTGCCTCATGCAAACTCTCCCAGAATCGACTGGTGAATCTGGGATCTCGATCGGAGATGATCGTAATGGGCACTCCGTGGAGTCGAATAACACCACGGGTATATATCTCGGCAAACTGATCCATCGTCATGGTCATCGCCACAGGCATGAAATGCGCGACTTTCGTCAGTCTGTCTACCACTACCCAAATCGCGTCGTGGTGCTCGGACGACTTAGGTAGTCCCGTGACGAAGTCCATGGTAACCTCTTCCCACTTCCAGCTGGGAATCTCAAGTGGCTGTAGCAGACCTATGGGACTCTTGTGCTCGGCCTTTACTTGCTGACACACCAAGCACTTCTTCACGAAGTCTGCTACATCTCTCTTCATTCCTCGCCACCAGAACGACCTTTTCAGGTCGTGGTACATCTTGGTACTCCCAGGGTGGGCTAAATATGGCGCACTGTGGGCCTCAGTCAGGATTTCCTTGCGTAAAGTCCCGACTTTTGGCACGACAATGCGGCCTCTGAACTCCAAGGCTCCATCTGTGCCTCGATAAAAGCCCTCTATGCCTCCGGCGTGAACCTTCGCCTCTAAAGTGCGAATGAACTGATCGCAGGATTGCTCCCGCCGGATTCTGTCTCTCAGCATGGGCTGAACTCGCATCGAGCTAACACTTCCCGAAGTCTCCTTAGGAAGTGAATCGACAACCTCAATCTGCATCCGGGCAAACTCTCGGATAAGCTGGCGCTGATCGGTGATCGAGCAGACTGACTCACCCCTCACCTTACGGCTTAGGGCGTCTGCTACCACGTTCGCCTTCCCCGGATGGTACTGTATGGTGCAGTCATAATCTTTCACAAGCTCCAACCATCGCCTCTGGCGCATGTTGAGCTCCTTCTGTGTGAAGATATACTGCAAACTTTTGTGATCGGTAAAGATCTCACACCGACCACCATACAGATAATGGCGCCATTGGAATATATTACCGTAGAATTTTCCGTTAGAATATGACATTTTTTTTGTAGTGGATATTTTCTATTTATGCATGTATTTTCCAATTTTTTGTGTCGGTGCCACCGAGAAGATCCCCTCAACCTAAGAAGTCAGAAGAGAAGACCATTGATGTTTTAGTTATGCATGTATTTTCTAATTTTTTGTGGACAAGTTTATGTTGTTTGCGATGTTTATGTTGAATGTTTAGGATGTTTTTTTATCAATCGTTGAATGTAATGATATTTGTTTTGAAGTTTTATAATTTGAGCTAAGTTGATTATAAATCTTACAGAGATCGTGACAAGCTAATTGACAGGAAATTATTATTATTATTATTATTATGATGATCATTTATGTGATTTTAAGGAGTTATGCCTTAGAAAAATAATTAGCCAATTTCAAAGAAAAATCACTAATGAATTGAAAAAATATATAAATATTACAATAAATAGCTTGAAAAAAATTCACAATACAATTCTTGATAAGTAACTTCTTTACATAATAGAATGGTTAAAAAATATGATTACACCTAAACTGATTTAAAATATAATTTCTAAAAAATATAATAATATATACTTAAATTGATATAAAATTTAACGGTTAATTTCTATAGTTACCTGTTGAATTAATGAAATAAATCAATATTTTTAGGTGACGGGCAAATGCCCTACAACATAATTTCCGTACCCGGAACAAAGTCGGTGACCCGCTTCCGCAGACCCTATATAACAGGCTCAAAGCTCAATCCCCAAATTTCAGGTTAAAACCCTAGCTCTCATCAAACCCTTCTATTGACAACACAATAACTATTCAACTAGGGTCCGCAGACAACTTCGTTTCGTAAATGGAGGAAATTACTGTCGGGGTGAACAAGATGAACATTGCAGAGCCCCACAAGAAAAACCGTATTCAAGTCTCCAATACTAAGAAACCGCTTTTCTTCTACGTGAATCTCACAAAGGTATTGTGTTTTTCGATTTTTCAGTTTCGTTTCGTGTTTTGACAATTTTATTGATTTTAGTTGTTGTGTGTGCAGAAGTACATGCAAGACAACAATGAGGTCGAGCTTTCTGCACTTGGCATGGGTAATTTTTCTGTTACTGCCTCTGAATTATTGTGTGCTGTTTTTTTCCCTCAGGGATATGTGTCCATTTTGTTTACATTAGATGAGATATACTGATTGTTAACAAACTAGAGATAATGGTGGGTAGATTTGCAGATTGTATTTCTTTTTTAGGACATTTGAGTTTCATAAGCTAGATGAATGAGCTCTGTCCAGAGGAATTGGGTCCTCGCTTAGATTGTTTTAACGTTTGAGTCATGGGTAACGTGGTGTTAGCTGTTGAAGGGCATGAAAATTCTGCTTGTCTTGTTGTTTGCCCCTATTTGTCTGAATTGTTTCTTGTACAAACATAAAACTGTGGCATTTGCTACTTGACGCCAAATTTTCTTGGAACTTTTTTTTTTAGTTGGTTAGTTGCTAACCAATGACTATGTGAAATAGAAAATAGAATCCTGTTGATTTCATGCGATAATTGGAGGTAACAGGGTACGTACTTCAACAGTGGAATAAACCTGGATTTTTGTGCATTGTTGTGTGTTCCTGCAATGCATTCTGTCCATTGTTATCATTTATTCATTTTCTGATTCCCTACTTTTGCTTGTTATTGCAGCTATTTCAACTGTCGTATCAATTGCTGAAATTCTGAAGAACAATGGCTTTGCTGTTGAAAAGAGTGAGTTATTGAGCCATTTTATCTGCATTGTTCATCACTTAAATTAGAAAATTCACAGAATACGTGTTAGAACCTTTCTTCTATATATATGGGTTATACCGACCCTAATCATAAATCTGGTAGGCTTATTTGCCTGAGGTGATTTGAAATAGTTTTGTTATGTTCGGTAATAATTCATTCTTATCCGTCAATTCAGATGATTTTATACTAAAAAGGAAAATAGAATAAGAAAGAATTATGTCGAGTATCACATTAGTACATTACTGTTTTACTGGAATGCTTTTGGTTGACCACGTCATTTAATCTCTTGGTTGATCACCATATGGTTACAGCACATAGTTCATACTCCTGGACATTAAATCAATCAAGTATACTAAGTATTTTCTCCGTATGAAATATGTAGAGATAACAACATCCACTGTGGAGATAAGAGATGAGTCAAGAGGAAGATCTGTCCAAAAAGCCAAGGTAATGTCCAATTTTCATACCCAAACTTCACACATTTTGTCATTGTAGCTGGGGATTGTGTCGAGGATCGGATAATATTTCAATACATTGAGATTTTTTAATTAACTTTTTTGTACTGTGTCTTGGCTTTGTCTTTGATGGAGATCCAACTATCGGATGCATAAAATTTCTATTGACATCCTGCCTATATGCACGAGTTATTCCACAAGATTAACAATTTGAGGCACTAGTGTTGTGTAATGTTGATTTATTTATTTATATCATATCATGCAGATTGAGATAGTACTTGGCAAAACAGCAAATTTCGACGAACTGATGGCAGTCGCCAAACAGCGCATGGAAACTGAAAATGGTGAGGATTAGTAGGTATAGCCAAAGTGTCTCGACTTATCTGGTTTAGTATTAGTATGCAATTCTCTCCGTTAGGTTGCTGGCATTTGGTAGTCGGGCATTGATTGTAAGGATGTGGTGAANTTTTCATTGGACGTGATGAAATAGTCCAGAATTTTGTTCTTGTTTTCTTCGTCCGTTCCGTTAGTTATTCTTTAATCAAATCAACTTTGACATTTTAATGACGTTTTGTATGTTATTTCTTATGTGGATTTCTATGGCGTCTCCCAACATCGGACTTTATTTAAATTCTCTAGAGATATTTTTTTATTTAAAGAATTCAATCACCAAAAGGAACTAAAGAATAAAAGGAAGATATTGAAAGCACATCGGACTTAAGTGTAAGTCAGAATAAAAAAGGGCCTCTGCACAACAATTACTCCAAGGGGTCTTCTGATTCTCTTGAAGAAGGGTTAGATTCTATTGTAGAAGGGCTTCCATTTCCTTGATTTCCATTACTCCGGGGGAGTTTTCTTTTCATTTCTCGTTTTTCTTTGTTTCTATCATCCCTAAAAGCTATAATAAGGCTTTAGGGTTTATTGGCCTAGAGTTCATCTTTTTCTGTATCTTAATTGCTTGGCGACTCTGCGATGGATTCTTCTCCAAACTCAACTCCCGCAGTTGATGGATTGTCTGTGGAATATCAAGCTCAGGAAGATTTCATTATCGCAATCGGAACTTATACATTGGAAGACGAGGACATTCGACTCAGTGCCGCTGAATGTGAAAAAAGTCTCTTTGGAAAAATAATTGGCGACCGAAAAGCTCATCTTTCTGGTATCAAAAGGACAATGGGACTAATCTGGCAAATCCAAAGCCCAGTGGAGGTTCGGGAACTGAAGACCAATTATTTCCAATTCGTTTTTGGGAACCTTGAAGATAAAAAGAAAGTGGCTGCAGGTGTGCACTGGATGTTTGAAAACCAGTATCTCATCCTGAGAGAATGGGAAGTGGGCCTTACTGAGAAACACAAGGGATTTGCAGAACTTAAAATCTGGGTTCAAGTGAGAAACAAGGGATGTGCACTGAAGTGGGACTAAAAATTGGGAAACTCTTCTCTAAAACTCACAATGTAGTTGTCGTCAAAGCGGGAGGTAATAAAGGCAGCTTCCTCCGTTTACTAGTTTATGTAGCCGTCACTAAACCTTTGCTTCGGGTTGCTAACATGAAGCTTCATGATCAACAAGTGATGGCGGTGTTCAAATATGAGAAGCTTGTAAATTTCTATCACTATTGCGGGTTCATCGGGCATCTAGAGAGATCATACGAAAAGAGAATGAAAGATATCTCCATGAACTCCCTGGATGAGGGCCAAAATTTGGCGAATGGCTTAGAGCCCCAAATGGTTTCTTTGGGAACATCTTTACTTCTACTAACAGTCCATCAAGCAAATCTAATGATTCTACTTCCTTGAACATAAACCTGCAACAAGATGGTGAGGGAATTATTCAGCATAACCCCTCTAATGCTAGCAATAACAGATCTCACGAAAACAAAGAGACAGGGTCCCCAAGAACACACGCATGAGAGGCAGATACAGTGCACTGTGACCCGATAATCAATGACAGCACCCTAGCTCTTTACAATATTAATGAAGTTCCAATAGTTGATGGGAACTGTCTAAGGAGAATTATCAATGTTAACCAAGAAACCAGTGATACTCGAACTCTCACAGTTAACATTGCCCCGTCATCTGATTAGCATGAAATTATAGCCCTTGAGTCTCAAGATACCAAAGTGAATAACCAGCCAGACACCTTATTACCTAAAAGGAAAGGATGGAAAAGAACCCTTAACATGGAAGGAAGATTGCAAAGAGAGGGTAAGCAGATTCTTCCCTCACCCACCCATTCTTCATCTTCCAAAAGAAGAATCAGCTCCCAAAACTTAGATGCTGATATTGCTAATGATGCTCCAGTCTCTAAAAAAATCCAAAATCCAAGAAACATTTAGCTCAAAGGTGGAGGAAGCCAGCCTCAATTGGCCCCCAGTTTCCAAATGAAGCTGATCTTGTGGAACTGTAGAGGTTTGGGTGGACCCTCTACAGTTTCCCAGATCTAGGACTCTTCCAGAGTTCACACCCAGACTTTATATTTTTATCTGAAACCAAAAAGAAAAAAGATTTTGTCTCATCTATCTGCAACACAATTTGCTTTAAAGACAGGTTTTTTTGCAGTAGATCCCATTGGTTTGAGTGGGGGTCTACTTCTTTTGTGGAATAAGGATATCACTATCCTTCAATTGTTGGGCACGTCTTTTGCTTGGAGGCAGAAGTTGAGGAATCTACTGGGGCTAAATCTCTTTGGGTCACCTTCATATACTCCAGTACAGATAAGGGAACCAGAGAAAGACAATGGGAGTTTCTTTTAGATGCCAGACACAAATGGGGAGATAGCTGGATAAATGGAAGAGATTGGAATGCTTAGTGAAGGGACTGAAAAGATAGGATGTAGAGCTGCTTCTGAAGCAGACCTCAGAGGCTTCAGAACTTTCAGCTCCTCAATGCAGATGCAAGAAATCAAAATGTTGGGGCACCAATTCACATGGGGTAACAACAGAGATGCTGAAGGTTTCATTGAAGAAAAAATAGACAGAATTTTGGGATCTCTTAATTGGCTGAGCACATATCAGAATGCCCAAGTTGAGACTCTCTACAAAACAGCCTTAGACCACAAAATGCTCCTACTGTCAGACATGATACCTCCTAAGAGACCAAGAGATTCTTCTTTGATAGGAGATGGCTAAGTATGGAAGTGGTCAGAGAAACAGTGGCCAATGCTTGGAACACTCCAAAATCAGGGACTCCTATGTTTCAAGTCTCAGAGAAAATCAAGGAGACAAGAGTGGCCCTTCTTAAATGGAGTAGATTCTTCAAATCTGAGAGACATAAGGTCAAGGATAGAGTCACTAACAGATTGGAAGAACTAAACAAAATGGGTGCTAATAGAAACTTGGATGAGTGGCATAATTTCAACTCATAAATGAGAGTGGTCCTAAAGAATGAAGAAGATTTCTGGCATCAAAAAGCTAGGTCTAAATGGCTAAATGAAGGGGATTCAAACTCTAAATATTTTCATGCCTCAGTTCTTCAAAGAAGAAAAGACAATGCCATTACTAGACTAGTGAATGATAGAGGTAGAATTTGTGAATTAGATGAAGACATTCAGAATTGTCTGAGTCACTTCTATGCATCCCTATTCTCCTCTGAAGGTGACTCTGGTGATGAAGACATCTTACAACTTATCCCACATTCCATTACTGAGGACATGAACTCTGCTCTCATTGCCCCCATTTCTGAAGATGAGATAAGATAGGCCCTTTTTAGCATGGATGCAAGCAAGGCTCCTGGCCAGGATGGTATGTCCCCCATCTTCTTCCAAACCTTTTGGGATGTTATTAAATTTTATCCTTGTGAAGTTGTCCAAAGATTTTTTGCTTCTGGTACTATTTTAAAAAACTGGAACCATACACTCATTACTCTTATACCTAAATGTGTGAACCCTACCTCCCTTGCTAATTTAAGACCCATTAGTCTCTGTAGTGTTTCTTATAAAATCATTTCCAAACTTTTGACCTCTAGACTGAAGCCTTGCTTGAATGACTGCATCAGTATAAACCAGACAGCCTTTATTCCTGGTAGGATGCTGATGGATAATGTTGTTTTGGCCCAAAAGGCCATTCATTTCCTTAACAGACATTCTTCTGGCCATAAGGGTTACATAACTGTTAAATTAGACCTTGATAAGGCATTTGATAGAGTTGAATAGGGATGTCTTCAGAAAATCCTTTCTAGAATGGGGTTTCATAGGCTTTTTGTCAAATGGATTCTTGCTTGTGTTTCATCTACTTCTTTTTCTTTCAACATTAATGGGGGTGTCAAAGGGTTTATCACTGCAACTAGAGGTATTAGGCAGGGGGACCCTTTATCCCCCTACCTGTTCATCCTTGTGGCTGAGATTTTCTCTAAACTGTTGTTTGATGAAGAAAAAAGGGGCAATTTTAAGGGGCTCAAAATCTCTAGAAACGGGCCTTCATTATCTCATCTTCCGTTTGTTGATGATGCCTTGGTCATGTGTGCTGCAGATACTCATCATGCTATTCTGCTTCTGCAATTACTTGACAAGTACAGGAAGTTCACTGGTCAGAAGGTTAATCTGGGAAATCTTCAATCTTTTTCAGTATAAATTGCCCTCCTCACCTCAAGTCTGATATATGCAATCAGTTGATGGGTATCCAAATTCAAAGCTCCACAAGATACTTAGGGCTCCCACTTGGTATTGGGAAATCCAAAAAAGATGTTTTTGACTATATCATCAAAGCTGTCAAATCTAGACTGATAAATTGGAAAATAACTTCCTCTCTACTGCAGGCAAGGAAGTGCTCATTAAAGCAGTTTTAGATGCAATGCCAGTGTTCTTTATGCATGTTTTTCTTTGCCTAAATATGTTTGCAAATTGATTGTTGGGTTGTGTGCTACTTTTTGGTGGAGCAAGGGTAAAGATCAAGCTGGTGGCTTGCCTTGGAAAGCCTGGAAATTTATTACCATCCCCAAAGAATCAGGAGGCTTGGGCTTCAAGGATCTAATGTTGTTTAATGACTCTCTCATACTCAAACAGATTTGGAGAATCCTTTCCAAACCTAACCTCCTTGTCAACAAGGTCCTTAAGGCCAAGTATTTTCCAAACTCCTCTCTTATTCAAGCCCAGAAACTATCTACCTTTTCTTGGATGTGGTCCAATTGGTTTAGCTGTCAGAGATAGATACATTCACTGTTTCCGAATTGATATTAAAGATGGGGTTACAAGCAGAATTTGGGTGGACCCTTGGGTTCCCTCACTCAGAACTGGAGTTCCTTCTCTTAAACCTAGGATATGCAGTGATCTAGTTGGGGTCCACCGATTGTTAGAACCTGGTGGCAGAAGACGGAATTTTGACCTATTGAATACCTTATTTGATGAACAGACTCTGAATGCATTTCTTGAGATTAAAACCTTGGACCCTGTGGCAAAAGACAGATGGAAGTGGAACATGGATTCTAAAGGGGAATTTACAGTTGCAGACACTTACTCTCACCTCATCAAGCAAAAAGTCC